CAGACGCAAAACATTTCAGAAACCGCATGTATCAAATATGATACACATTTGGCATTACAGGGTTAAAATAGTGATTTTATTCTTTATGGTAAAGCATTATTAAACAACCCTAACTGTTCTTTGTGAAATTATTTTAATTAAGCTATTTTCACTTAAGACTTCTTGTAAAGAACCATTAATTATTGCATTAATTAAGTCAAGTCATCAAGGTTTGATGCAGCGAAGCAGACCAAACCCATCAAACTCCCACCACCATTTTTGACTGTTGGTACATTGTTCATCAGAAGAAATTAGACCTTCCAAAAAGCACCCATCTTGTCCAAACAGCCCATAAACACTTTTGTCAAGTCCTGGGAATTATGAAGAAATCTGTGGCTAATGTCAGACAGAACTTTTTGGTTTGTTGAATAAGGGTTTTTAACTCTGTACTGATGTAATGTATTGGATGTGCAGAGTCCCTTTCTTAATGCTGAATCACCAACACTGACCCAAACTGGGGGGAATGAGGCCTACAGAGCTTTAGATGTTGTTTTGAACTTTTCTCTGTTCCATGTTTTATCCAGCTGCCTCAGAATAACCTTTGGTCCCCCGTAAATCTCAAGTCCAGATGTTGTTATCGCACCCAGCTGTGATTCTTTAAAAATAAAGTCGGTAGTGCAAGACAACAGATGTCAGTTGGCATTATGTAAAATCTCTGTTTTAGGTCTCTCCATGCCTCTCTTTTGTAAGAATAATGCCAGAAACACCCAATATTACAATGATTCTGATACTGTAACATATACATCAAATCTGGTTTATATTTCCCTCTTTATTGCCTTTCTTCACATTGAGATGAAAAAAACATTACATTACTCTGGTCTCAAAGTCTTTTGTAAAAGGGACCTTAGGTTCTTATGTTTGATTTTCTTTGATTCTGTGCATGATATGTTGCTTTTATAGATTTCTGACCTACCAAATGTTTGCTAACAGGTCCTGTTTATATAATTTTTCTTATTATTTTACAGGTCTGGCGGTAATCAGGTCCAGGTGTTGCTGTTATTGCTGGGTATTACTTTTGGCATAGGACCAGGTGGGTTTGGATACCTTTGTCTCTTGATAAATGAAATCATTTAAAAAGTGCATTTTAAGATTTTCTCTGGTCTTTTTTGTTTTATTTATACATTTCTTTACTGATAAGACACATTTAAGAGTAAGAAAACCAACAAAAATAACCAAACATAAAAAAAACTTGGAAGGGTTAAATATTTTGTACAGCACTGTGTGACTGAAATCTTTTCAGTGCGTGAGCTGGGTTAAAACTCACCTTAACAGATTTGGAGCCCATACCAAAGCCAGATTACGTGTGTGCATATTTGTCTGGGCACTGAACGCAGCAAGGCGGGCCAAGTGCTTGGAAAGGTACTCCAGAGTCCTGAGGATGGTTAATAAAAAGCCTTTTATCAAAAGTTAAACAGCATTAAAGTCAGTTAAAGTAAACTAGACCGTTGTTTCTAGAGCTAAAAGCAAAGGACATCTGGTTTACCTGAAGTGAGCAGTGGGAAGTTCTTGGATAACTGTCTGAATGTGTAAAATTCTGTCTTGATCTCTGTGCAATGAGACAGCCTCCTACATGGAAAACAAAGATTTGCACAATGACAGCATTATTTAACTCCTTATTTAGGTCCTATTTGTTTTATCTTTGCAAAGATGAGAACAGGACAGTCGCAACACACAGCTTGATGTTCTGCCCTGTTCTGATCTAGACAAAGTTTCTCTCTATAATTTAAAGCCTGCATGAAGCCATGAAGGTCTCAACATACAGTTAATCCAAATAAGTTACAAACAGTTGAAGAAATAGTAAAATGTTGAGTGAACACCTTAAATGAAATAGTAAAATGTTGAATAAACCTTGGGAAAGAGTCTGGCCTGTTATGGAAACTATTATGTTCTGTTCCAATATAGTGCCAATAAAAAACAGATATCATCTCAATAAAAATAATAAAAATTGTATTAATTATGAAATGAAATTCTTTGTTGTGTAACCTTTATAGTTTTTTATTTTTATTTTAACGAGTTGATGTAGATGTTAATAACTGGGAGAAGGATGGGTCTCCTGTAGCTGTTGGTCTTACTGTGGGACTGAGGACACTGCTGTTGTTGACTGCTGTCTGAAAAGATTTTTGAGGTGCTCTTCATTTTATCTAGAATATGTATGCAGCTAAACCATTAAGACTGATTTTTTTGTAGGCTTGACTGAAGTAGGAAAGGCAAGTTTATTTATAGCATATAAAACATTTTAGCAGAAAGATAATTAAAATTGTTATAGATTACAAAAAATAAGAAAACAGAGAAAAATTAACATTGCAATAGCATAAAGTTAATTAAAACAAAAATAATTAAAGCGATTAAATAATTGATAAACATTTATAATAGCTTGATTATCAATACAAAGAAAAGGTTGTTCCACAAACTTAAGCTAGCTGTGTTTAGATAGCACCGTCAAAGGCCAGTCCAAACCATTACATTTTACATCTTTATTTAAAGCACCTTAGAGTCTCTGCACTTCCACACTTTTCTGGGAGTTTGTTCCAGATTAGTTAATCCTAAGAACTATTAGCTGCTTTTCTGTGTTTCGTTCTGGGTATGCAGTCTTGACTTGTTTCAGAAGCCCTGACATGTTTGGAAGAGTGAAACACTGCCAATAAATCAGTTGTAATATTTTGATGCTAAGCCATTCGGTGATTTATAGACTAAGAGGATTATCTGATAGGGGCTGCCAGAGGAAGGACTTCAGAACTGGACTGATGTGTTCCACTTTCTTAGTTTTAGTGAGGATGCAGGTGGCAGCATTCCGGATCAGCTGCAGCTGTCTGATCCATTTTTAAGGCAAATGTAGAGAAAACATTACTGTAATCAATTATAGTAACGATTAACGCATGAACTAGTTTTTCAAGGCCCTTCTGAGACATTATTCCCTAACCCTAGGTGATAGAAGGACCACTTTGTCCCTGTCTAGTGGAGGTATAGTGAAGGATTTGCGTGAATTTATAAAATTGACCTGCCCTCTGAGCCTTTAAAAAACAATGGACATGTACAACCCTGTACCCGTGCGAGAGCATGCATAAGCCCATTTCTCCTCGTTAACGCTCTGTTTAAAAGTTGCTGTTTGCATCGCTCATGCAAGCTTACTTTCCAAAAGAAGATTTGGAATTTTTACACTATGTCAGACTCATCACCGGTAAGTGAAAACGGCCTTAAGTAAACATATCACCAAAATGATTGACAATTAGGAGGATCACTTATTTTGATGCTCAACCCGGAAATAAAACATCCTCCACTATACCTTTAAAGAGCCTGGTAAGTTCAGGTCTGAGTCCATCACTAAACCTAGATTTTTAGCCTTATTGCTGGTTTTTATCTGTATTAACTGAGCTGAACTAAGGTCTAATAATATCAGCACTGTGGTACTTCCAGAGTTTGCATTTACAGTATAGGGATGTGATTGAACACCTTCACAAGCACAGCCTCTGTACTGAGTTGAACACCAAGACCTGACAGCAAAACAGTTGTTCAAATGGTTTGTCACTGCTTTTTCAATAATTTTGCTCATGAAGGGGAGGTTGGAGATAATACTTATTATGGAATAATACATTGAATATACATTTCCTAAAAAAAAAAATCTCCAAGCATAATTTTATTGAGAAGACGGATGGCTGAAGATGTTCACAGAAAATTACCCGTTAATTTCTTCAGATGGTTTAGAAATTGTCAGGTTTCATCAAATGAATGAAACAAGTGTGACTTAGAGTGCCCCTTTTCGGATTAAATTTGGACAGAATTACAAGCTCAATAAGTTTAAGATATTTTGTTATCAGCCAGTTTTTTGTTAGTATATCTGGAGGGTACAAAATATTTTCAAGGTGCACGAGAATGCTGGAGTTAAAAGCACAGGCAGACAGAGACGTATGAAAGCCAAGGTATGCAAATAACCCCATCAAAGCAGACTGTTCCACAGAAAGAAACTCGTACACGTTGGTATTTTTACCCCATTTTCCTTCTAAAAAGCCAAAAAACTTTCTTTACAGCAAACTATAGAAATTATAAAACCCTTTCTAAACAGACATATCAGTTAAACCTTTGGTATATTTTTGAATTTGGCAGTATTTTAATATTTTGGTGTGCAGCCAAAGCAAATGAAATCAATAGAATTTGCTTCTGATTCAGACTCAGATCTAGTATGTTATCTCTAGAGGTAATACATTTCTAAAAAAAACCAACACAAATTAAATTAAAATAAATAGAAAAGCATGCCATGGAGTTTTATTGAACCTGCCTGAATTTATACTTTGCAAAACTAACATTTGTTGAACTTTTTTGTATCAGGTACGATTTGTACATCTAGGGATGGAAATGTATGCCAATGCTCTTTTGCAAAATTGCTTGGGTTCACCCCAATTGATTGAAAATAGTCAGTAAATAACTATTTCTAAGTCTTACTTTGCCCCTGATTTCACCTTTTCTGCTTTCACAATGAAAAGATTTGTGTAGTGCAGGACTAGAATTTTCTGTTTACAGTGTTTTTGATTTGAGTTGTGGGTCTCTGCACCTCCTGCAGAGTTAGCACCCACCTCTTGTATATTTTCCTAATTGCAGCACTCCTTGCCTTTCTTGTTGCTGCTTAATGAAATGTGAAAAAACACAAAGGGTATTCAATTCAAAGAAATCTAAGAAGATAGAAGAGGTAAATGCAGACTAAATATAGCCTACAAATTGTTTAATATGAATAATTTGAATTAAACTTTAATTTAGGCTAATTTAAACATAAAAAACTAGGGATCATGTAATTTCACGTCTGGTTTTTTCCATCCTTTCAGGAAGAAATCTATACTAATCCCAAGCTATAGCCTCTCATTCAGACAAGATTTGTACATTCTACAGATGAAACTAAACATACTCACAGTGAATTTGCTGTAGAGCTCGTATGTCAGCAGGGGATTGGGCAGCTCCCTGAAGTAGAGCTTACATAAGGAACCCACACAGTGGATGTCCTGGAGGTATACTTCCTTGGTAAGGTCAGGGCACGCCTCGGAGCAGAATTCCTGCCTACACACAAACATCCACACAGACACACACTCAGTAAGCTGAATGACTGGACTGTCTACCAGCCCAGCTCACTCCTGCTCATCTCTGAGGCTCCTCAGACTGAGGTGCAGCTGTCGGGTCAATACAGTTGAAAATGGGGCAAGATATATATATATAAAAGAAAAGATACACTATTTTTTTTTTTTAAATGATGCATAATTTTTTTCTTATTAACAAAATGCAGCCAGGGCCTGTGGTTTCCGATGTTTAACAAAAAGATTTCTATAACTAACAGGGATGAGAAGAAAAGAGGTCATGCATAAATGCTGTTGATCATCAAACAAAATATCATCCAGCCAAAAGGAAACAGATAAACCAAAAGTAAGAAAATTGCATTTTTTTTTTTTTTTTTTACAATTAAAAGCTCCACTGAGTCCACTATCATTTGGGATTATCCTCTATCAGTCAAAATGTTTGATTTCTTCAGATAAAGTATTTTGCCTGAAGCATCAAAAAAGACCCAGACTATACCACTACTGGTTATCCACTTTTTTACTTAAACACAGGGTAATTTTCTCACCAGATGTAAAACTATTGAGGAAAAGGATGTTACTGTAAGAGGAGGAAATCCAAGTGGGCTGCTTATTGGTTTTGATCAATTATGGTTTTGGCCTGGGAGCTCCCAGTCTCTATCTTACTGATTTATGACCTTAAATGTGGTACCCAATATGAGTCTCCTTTGAGATCTTTTGGTCTTAAGGGAGTCCCCAAAACCTTAGAAATTATATAAATATATTTTTTTTTACCTTTTTTAATTTTAAAACACCTGTGATTTTGTTTCTCATCTTTCCTGGAATTTGTCTAGATAGAGAATTTTACCTTCTTCATGTTGTCAAACAGGTTCTGGATAAAGGATTTCTTATATGGTAAAAAAAAAAAAAAAGCTGGTTAATTCCTGTTAAATCATTTTTTAACTATGGGAGTGAATGTTTTTTTGTTTTATAAAGGACTGGGCTTGTTTTTTAATTTCTTTTTTACACACAAAAAATTATTACTATTTGAAAACTGCATTTTGTTGTTATATAAGTTATGTTTCTTTCAGATTAAATATAGAAATATATCAAAACAGCAGAAAATATTAAAGTAGGTAAAAAACTGTTTATTATAGTCAGCTTAAAGAAAATAATCCTTGTGGTACCTGAGACGCTGGATGTTTGAGGTGACCCCTGAAAGCCTGTAGATCCCATCCACAATCCCATGCTTCTCAATAAACTCTGCACACTTCTGGAGGACCTGTGGAACTTCAGGAAGGAAATCACACGGTATTAAGGATCTGATTGCATCTAGTATTCCTCAATTATGAAAACTATTTACGCTACACATATGCCGTAAAAATAAACAGCTTTAAAAGTCACACATTAACTGTAACAATGCAGAGGGCTGAGTCCAAGGTATTGTGGTTTGTTTCACCACATGCCTGTTCTCTGCTCCTCAGGGTCGGTGGCTGTAGGTGGATTCAGGCAGGAAGTTAAAAATGGTTTGTTTGTTTCAGAGGAAAGTTGACACACCCAGTCCTTGTGGCTGGTATTACTTACGACATTTCCTCTAATAGAAATAAGCCTTTGTAATGTCACCACTGACCTACACACTGCTTTCCTAACAACAGCCCATCTTCTCGGTAAACAACTTTGCAGAAGCCTGTAACAGCTTTAGCTGTGGTTTTTTAAAGTGTCTAATAAATCACATGTCTGATTCAATCTGACCAAAACTTTACTTTTACTAATAGTGGTACTAATAAGCGACTTGAGCTCATTCTGTTAATTTGGACCACGTTTTTTTTTTTTTTTTTTTTGTGTGTAGAAAAGCAGCATTAAGCTTGAAGATAATGTAAATGTAAAACATTTACTTAATGTAAAACAAGAAAGTTCTTATACGATACTGAAAGTGCAAACAAGAAGCTGAAAGCTTGGATTTAAACCCTTGTTATTTGGTAATTAAGTGCAACAATTAATCAGAAGTCCTGCGATAGTGCTTTTTGAAAGAGTTACTTACTTTTTAATACAAATGTTATGAGAAAAAATAAAATGTAACATTAATCTGAATTAGAAAATAGGAAGCATATTTTGTTCAATGCAAACTTTAGCTTCTTATAAACATAATTCCATTGGTCCGTTTGTGATATTTGTAATTTCTGTTTCTTTTTCATTTTTTCTGGTATTATATTTGCTCATATCGAAAAAGAATTTCCAGCGCCCTTCCTCCACAAAAATGAACGGCCAAATATTTCTAGCTACAGTAAATTTCTCACAGCTCACCGCAGCAGGCAACAGATATTTAAATTCTCATCTCCCTGGCCTAAGTAATTGGATTCCTAATTGCCTGTCTGTGGTCATATTCTGAAAGACGAGCAACCTCCGGGTTGTCATTTAGCTCATCTCCGTTTATACACTGAGACGACATTTCTCATACACAGGCAACAAATATAGCTGGAGTTTGGATGGATTTCTGAACATACAGCAGTACATGTGATCATTTGTGGAAAGCTTTTAAACCTGAAAACGATTCTGCCTCTGAAATCAGTAAAAAAAATGATTCTTAACAGAATTTGTGGCTGTTTCTTTACGAAAAACATATATCTTAATACACCATATCTTTCTGTCACACTAAGGGACATTTCAGGTAGCCTACCAGAAAATTCATATTGTGATGTCATTTTTTGGAAAGACGTTGTGTGAATATTCCCTGTTTTATTTTTAAAATACATATGGATTAAAAAAAAACACACACACACACACAATTACCTGATAACTGTAATTAAATAGAGTTGAATAAACAAATTTTGATTACAGTCCTGTCAACCTTGTTAAAAAATATGTCATCGAATTCATTTTTCCTACAGATGTAGAAATCATATCTTGTTTCCAAACTTTTGACCTGTTGTGTTCTTTGCAACATAGAAAGAAAGAAAGAAAGAAAGAAAGAAAGAAAGAAAGAAAGAAAGAAAGAAAGAAAGAAAGAAAGAAAGAAAGAAAGAAAGAAAGAAAGCAATTAAACAAGTAAGTACGTAAGTAAGTAAGTAAATAAGTTAGTAAGTTAGTAAGTAAGTTAGTAAGTAAGTTAGTAAGTAAGTAAGCAGGTAAAAAAGTAAGAAAGAAAGAAAATGTCCCTTTTTCTGTTAGCTGGCTCCTTTGCTCATTTCCACAGCCCACCAACAGCTTAAAAGGGCAATATGTCTACTGCTTCCATGACACAGGGCTATAACCCGCACCTCTTCCCTCACTTCCTGCTCTCAATGTCCCGCCTCACAATAAGCCCATCAAACAGGTCTGTCTTAAACATATCTCAACAGCCTCAGATTATGTGATCCTAAAATATTATGGCAATACAAAATGACATAAAGGCTGTGGAAACATGAAGTCAGAAACTGAAGGAAAAAAAAAACAGAAAACGAGAATGCTTTTCTATTAATTTTAACACATTTCTGTGTTACTACCTATTTAATTTTCATTATATCCTCAGTCATGTAGAAGCAGGAGTGTTATTCAATCTTTTATGATAAAATTAAAATCCTAAAAAGAGTTGTACTCAACAGGAAATTTACACAAAAAACTCTAAGAGCCCCACCCAAGGTTCATTAAATGCAGCCAATGGGTGAATGAATGTTCATGATGAATAGAAAACACATGTATTCTGCTAAAGGTCTTTTAACTTCAAATGTTTTCTTACACACGAAAATATAAAAGTTCTGTCTTATTTTAAACAGCATATGCATACAATAGTTTTTAATATGTAAAGTGGTTTAAATAGACTAATACCCTCTATGTTAAATCCCCCCTCTGTGTCTGAGTAAAGCAGCCAGCAGAGGACATTTTGTCTCATTTAGTAGGTGCCAACTGTAAAAGATGACTGAATTTTAAATGAAGGGTTACCATCTTGTCCTGAACCCTGGAGATGTTCTGTCAGGTCACAGCCGAAGACATTCTCACTTCCTTTCTTTTTGGTCTTCTGCTTGTTTCCTTTATTCTTCATGTGGGCTCCAGTTAGTAGTCCAGACGATTAAAATAAAAAGTTCCCTGAAAGCACCAAGTTTGATCCATATGACCTTTAGAAAAGCAGCTGAGATGGCAAGTCAAAAGGCAGCCGCTCAAAAATCCCAGCACAAAGCTCCCAAATGCCTGCATCCGCTCGCACCCTGACAGACCACACGGTTGGTGGCTGAGAGCAGCCCTGACGTCACTTTTCAAACTTCAGCTCCTTTTTTACATTTCAAGATCCTCAGGAGATGAGCTGATAAAATATATGATGGTTTTGTTCCTCTGCTGGGAAAAAAAAAAATTCTTAGCTGAATTAAGTGGACTGATTTTCAGAAACAGCATTAGAATGGGCCGGTTTCCTGTTGTTTTTGCACCCCCGGTCTCTCTCTCTCTCTCTCTCTCTCTCTCTCTGTTCTTTTTATCTCCTCCTCTTTTCCTTCATTCCACAGTCTCCTCTTCTCACTGGCTTGTTCTGCAGCTGAGGCACACATGCATTAGAGACAGAAACTCCCATCCCTATAGTTAGTTATGTTTTGCAAAGGTTTTTTTTTTTATTCTCTGGATTCAGGGATAGCCTGGTGGCAGTGATGTGGCAGGGGTTTTTCAAGCCTTCAGACTATGTAAGAGGGAGGGAGGAGAAGTTATGGGAGGAAGAGGAGAACAGCTGACATCTGTTTCACTCCCAGTTTAGGAATTACTGACTCTATGATACTGTTTTTTTCCCCCACCAACTATTCTCCCAAAGTTGAAGCGAACGGGAAAACGTCTCCCTGCCTTTCCTGAATGCTACTAATGTATACACAGTTTCCTGTGCAAAGAGCCCGGGCTCAAAAACAAAAACAGACGGACTCTGGAGGAAGAGGAAAGTGGGAGGTGACTTAAGTTAGGGCCTGAAGGGCACAGATGGGAAATGGAGGGGGGGCACTTAGATGAACAACACGTGGTTCTCATTACTAACTGCCTTGTGTTTTATTGTTTTCTTGTTTAATTAGAATGCAGCTTTAATAGACAAAGCGGAATCTAACTGGTAAATGTGTTGAAGTTAAAAGCAGGGTTTCCTTCACAGCTGCCCTCCTTGTCTGCAGTGAATCTATTTCAGTTACGTCCTTGCATTGGAATGCCAAGCCTGATAAATATGGTGTAGTACTCCAGTATACTCCATACATACATTACCTTCTGACTCCTACAACAGGAGAAGATTAAAACCCAAAGTGAAATCCTTAAATTTGATAACTTTGCAGCCAAGAATAACTGAACTGTCTGTGACTACCCACCCTACCCAACTGGAACAGAACAAAATGTGGCGATAAAATATTCAACTGATGGAATGTCAAAAACGTGTTAAGAGTTTGTTAGAATGGATACATTTTTGATAAGAGGTTGAACATCTTCATTTAATCTAAAAATGTTGAATCTTATTCTTTGAAGAACAGCAGTTTCCCATTCTGTTTGTCAATCTTCCTCATCATCTAAGCTCCTTGTTTTAGCCACCAATTCATGGATTCTTTAGCTGTAGGCCATCCTAGTAATGTACAACTTTTTCTGAAATCAAAATTTATCAACTGATTTGGTACATAAATGGTTAATGATGATCCCAGTCATTCGGGATATGGTGATTCCAAGTGACTAAATAAAAGGCACTTGAACTGCAGCCTCTTTTTTTTTTATTATTCATGTTTCTTTCACAATCTAATCTATTTAGAATGATTCTGGTCTAATTTTCTGATAGAAACATTCTTCTTTGCTGAATGAAATAGTTTCCAATCTAAATCCTAAGTGTAGAAATAATCGGTGGCCTATCTAAAATATCTGACTCAAAAGGATGTTCACGCTTGAAAGTGTATGATGTCCAGTGCAGCAAAGAGTTCATATGCAGGTATTGAATAAAAACATCACACGTGCAAAACAACAAGTTTCTCAAACCAAGACTCAGTGGTTGATCAAGAATGGGAAACTTATTAGGATTGTAATTGTTTTTAGAAAGGTGTCTTTTTTTTTTTTTTTTGAAAGGATGATGAAAAAGCCGTCTATGTTACACATAAAAAAAAGGTTGAGATTATGATGATTTTAGGTTTAATAGTTTCAAAATCTTAAAGACTTAGAAGGCTATAAATCCCAACTCATGATGATAATAGAAGAAGGCTTGGTATGGGCGGTTCTAGACAGGGGCCAGCAGGGGCCAGAGCCCCTTTAGAACTGGTCCTGAGCCCTGTTACGGCCTTTGTCCTGAAGACATAGTATTCAATAAATTTCATATGATTATATGCGCTGACACAGCATCCATATTTGGTTGGTCCCTTGGATCTCGTACTCATCATCTTTCGGCTTCAGGACCAGGTCTCGGGGGGGCAGCAGTCTAAGCAGAGATTCCCACACTTCCCCCTGCACAGAGATCTCCTCCATCTCTTCTGGGGAACGCCCAAGGTGCACCCAGGCCATCTGAGAGACAAAGTCCCTCCAGTCTTGTGTACCAAATAGAAAAAAACGTGTCTCTCAGATACATATATGCTAAAAGCAAGCTTGTTTTTGTTAAGAGGAATTACTCCCAATGGATGGAGTAACCACAAAATGTACTCAAGTAGGAGTCGTAATACTCTATCATATTTTTGCTCAAGGAAAAAGTAAAAAGTACAATGCTGTAAAACTACTTCTAAAAGTATTTTTTTTTTTTAAAAAGGTTACTCAAATAAATGTAACTGAGTAAATGTAATGGCTTATCTAAATTGTCCTTAGGTCTGAGTGTGTGTGTGAATATTTGTTTGTCCTGTTTGTCTCTGTGTTGACCTGCGATGGACTAGCGACCTGTCCAGGGTGTACCCCGCCTCTCGCCCGTAGACTGCTGGAGATAGGCACCAGCACCCCTCGCTACCCCACTTGGCACCACATTTTCTGACACTTAAGCGTGTCAGAAAATGGATGGATGGATGGAGTAAATGTAGCAGGTTACTACCCACCTCTAACCAGGGGGAATATGAAACAGATGTCCGAGACTTCTCAGCCCGCTGCCATTGATAGATCTATATTTTTTGTTTACCTTCAAAAATAACTCAAAATTAAGATGTTTTAATTTTAGATTCAGTTGTATTTAGAGGATCACATTTTTAGGGGTCTACTTATTTCAGTTATGTGGCAGATAACAGACCATTAGAAAGCCTGCCATGCCGATTATGATTTCTACTGATTTAGTTAAGAACTGTTGTTAAAAAAAATTTCAAAAATCTTTAATGTTCCAATTTTATTTTATTGAAACAAAACAATACTAGTAAAACAAACACATTTCTTTAAACTTCACTACATAGCACTATATACATGAAAAGTTAAGAGCAGTATCTGATCTTAAGATCTCTGCAAAGGTAGATAAGATCAGTGGTTAAGATGGGGTTTACGTTTAAGTATCAGCCAATCACCAATTGCACCCCTACGTTTTATCTGCTAACTATATCTGGGGTCTCCAGAGTTGCAAGTGACTCTTTAGTTCTGCGTCTCTACTCATATATTACATGATGAACTATTGCCCTGTTTTGCCCCAATGAGAAAACAGTAATCCCACCCTGGGCCGCCTTGTTAAATTAGGTCTAGAACCACCACTGAGGCTTTGGGATGAGATGTGAAACATCTGAAACAAAAGAACCCATTATCTTTCTTTTTTTAGCACTTGGGAAATTTGATAAAGATGAAACAACATGCACACCTCCTTAAAAAAAGGAATTCAGAGACATATTGTGTTCAAATGTCATATCTGGTTTACTTTTACTTGTTGGTAGCTCCTTTTTGATAATATAATATTTTATCTTAATAATGAGTTCTGGTAAGTAGTAGTAAACTACCACTGTTATTATTGCTATTTAATAATAATTTAATGTATCTGTTTAACTGCTCAATATCCAAGTCAGAAATACAAGAAGGCAGTGCCTGAGAGAAAACTTAGTTTCATGGAACTAAGGCTGAAACTGCAGAGAGATTGATTAGTTACTAGAGGAGCTAAAAATAATACTATAAAGTTATCTAACCCTTGTTTACTTTGACCCTTATTTTCCCAAATAAACACAATGCTGGACCCACTGCAAGCAGGATAGACATTCTTGTAAAGTGTAGTAATGGAAAGCGCTGGTTTGTGAAAAAAAAACAAAAAAAAAAAAAAAAAAAAAAAAAACGATAGTGCAGAGCCTTGCAGAGGTTTTGGTGCTAAAAGTGTTTTGTGAATGTCACATGGTCGAGCAGTGACCAGGCCTACCCTCTGCAAAACAAAGGTTTCTTTCTGCACCATAGGAAGAGGACATGACATCATCCTGCTCATACAAAGACTCAATATCCCACTCTTTCTTTTGGCTATGAATTAAAAAAAGAAGATACAGCATTGCAGCTGAATAATAGACTTTACTGGGTGCCTTTGTTTTTAATTTAAGTGCATGTTTGACGTGTTCTATATGTGATGCTTTTAAAGTTTTGTTTGTAGATAATCTGGTGTTCAAAATCAGCTATACAGAGACCCAGAGTGGATGCTGTTGGGATTGAACCGGGTATTTGCAACCCTCTCAGAGCACAAGCACACTGCTCTAACCACTAGGCCAACATCCCCCCCGCCATTTGTTGGGAAATGATGCAAGTCGCAGAGAAAGGAAGATTACCAGTTAATGCCAACTACTGAGACAGTGATGGATTACCATTACAAAACAAAAAAATCTGTAGAGGAATATATCAGTTATTTTACATGTATATTTGTCAGATTAAAGCTACTTTTAAATAACGGAAAAGGACTTATACCGTAAGTAGGAAAATGGTAATACAGTGAAAAAAGGCTTGAAAACAGCTGTCTATGGGTAAATAAGTTAGTGTATGGTATTTCTGGAATGAAATAACTTTTGATATTATTATAGTTTACTAAAACACAACGGTAAATGCTGGACTGTGTTCAACAGTGTGGTAAGAATTATTGAAATCACAACTTTTAAAATAATTTTTAAAGACACTTGATGTCTTTAAAAAATTAAGACACTTGATGTCTTTCTTTGGCTAACTCTATATTCAGTGTATTTCAGATGCCTCCTAGAAGCCTTCTTTTGGAAGTGCTCCAGGCATGTTCCACCAGCAGGAAGCCCATGGGGACAACCTAGGCGACAGTAAAGAGAGAGTATCTCTCTCAGATGGAGCGTCTGTCTGGGAAGAGGGTGAAGTGGAAGGCAATGAATGGAAGTAAGAAAACAGGTTGAGCAAAAAAATGCTCATTAAAACTGCTCTAACTTTTCATTAGTAAGATTCTGTTTATAATGGTATTCATCTCTATACCTATTCAGTAGAAACCCATGTCCTGTATTTATGGAACCATTATTTATCCTGCACTTGCTGCTATTGCACCTCTGGTTAGACCTAAACTGCATTTCGTTGCCTTATACCTGTACCTGTGTCATGACAATAAAGTTGCTTATAATCATCTAATCTAATTAAAGCGCTGACTTTGAAATAATAGCACATGTCGTCCATCAAGGGAAAAGAAACGTACAACAAAAGAAAAAAAAAATCCCACATATGATTGATCTTAATCGGTTTTCCATCCATCTTCCTCCACTTATCCGGGGTTGTGTCACGAGGATAGCAGCTTCAGTAGGGAGGCCCAGACGTCCCTCTGCCCAGCCCCTTGGGCCAGCACCTCTGGGGGAATCCCAAGGCGCTCCCAGGCCAGCTGAGAAACATAGTCCCTCCATAGTGTCCTGGGTATCCCCTTGGGCCTCCTCCTGGTAGGATTCGTCCGGAACACCTCTCCAGGGAGGCGTCCAGGGGTCATCCTAACCAGATGCCTGAGCCACCTCAACAGGCTGTTCTCTAAGTGGAGAAGCAGCAATGGATCCTTACTGGATGACTGAGCTCCTCAGCCTATCTCCAAGGAAGAGCCCAGAAACACTACAGAGAAAACTAATTTCAGCCACTTGTATCCTGGATCTCATTCTTTCGGTCATGACCCAAAGCTCATGACCATAGATGAGGGTAGGACTGTAGATCAACCGGAAAATGGTGATCGGCTTTATTTATTTAAATTCAAGCTCTATTTTCCAGAGAGTGTAATTTTTATTTTTATTCCCTTTGGGTGTTTTGTCAGAGTTTGATCCACATATTTAAATAAAGGTACCAAGACTAACATTTTATATTTTCTTTTAGATTGGACAAATGTGAAGAGGTTTGAATCATTGAGGGGCAGAAGGACAACTGAATAAACTGCTCTCTATTATGGACAAACATTCTCATTCATTATGCTCTGCAGACACAGGGGAGCTGGTTATGTTGAACCTGAACATTATAAACCATCTACTACACATCATCATTTAGCCATTTGAATTTTATCTATTTAATGGGTTATTTATTTAATGGAACACCTGATAAACACCTTTTTTTAACAGGAGCATTTTTTGCAGTTTTCCTTTTTCTTTCTTTTTTGTAAAGCCAAAAAACATGGATTTCATTTTTTTTCCCTCTATGTTGTCTGAAAAAATATGAAAACGGTGACAGACATGATTAAATTAAACATTTAGGTATATCTAACAAAGGCCAATTTCAATGGTCAAATAAAATATTTTATGACTAACCTCCACAAGTAATTTTACCCAGGGTTGGTAAAAATTTGCATGGCAGTAATATCCGCAGGTGCCAAAACACACCTACAAAATCTATTTTAGACCCGTACTGTCAACTTCATGGATGGTTGCTAATTTATTTTTTTATTGGGACAAAGTACAGCACGACCACTTTTTAAATCTGAGGGAATAAATAGGAAAATAATCTTATTGTAGCTGTCGAGGTTAATTCAAAGCCAGTGATGTTTTAAGGATACTGCATGACAGGGGTAGGCTGTTTTTGTGCTTGAGGATTTAAACAGAGCTTGGATTCATGCACTACAACTCCTGCAAGTTTCAGGTGTGCCTTTGATTCAACACACCTGTATCAAGTAGTTAGATAATTGAGAGAACTCTGGTACATCTGACTGCACACTGAAGAGGTAACTCATCTATTTGATTCAGGTGTATAGGACCAAGGATGGATCTAAAAGTTGCAGGATACCCTGGAACTGGAATGGCCACCCCTGCTGTAGCTGATGGTGCACAACAGAGAAACTAGCAACTGTTAAGAGGAAACATGATTAATAACTTCATCTTGTTTTAAATATTGCAGCAGAGAAATCTCTTGAATAGAACTGAGCAAAAATGCTGTGCCTCACAGAATAGAGAATTCAAAAGAGAGTAGCTTTGCAGCTCAGCCAAGGTGGTTATGTTTTCAGGGGAGCTTGTGTGTTTCCCTGTCTGTGTACAGGATAACTTTAAAAATTATAGACAGATTCTTTATTTCGGAGGTGTCCCTCGTGCCAAGGAGCAATCAAGTAAATTTAGGTGATGATCCAGATCATACTTTGGATGCAGGAAGTTTTTAAGAGATTCTGTAAATAACTGTCAGATAGGGGTATTTGGCAGAAAAAGCAGATCCTCGCTAAACCAGAGGGTAGCAGAAGTGACTTCAGCCTCAGCATCAAACTCAAAAAGCTTGGAGGTATTTTACTGAAGATAAAAACACAAGAAAAGGGAACGATGTCGGTTTGTTAGCTGGATCAAGTGAAAACTTATGAACAGATTTTATAAAAAAAATAAATAAATTGTACCAGAGGTGTGCCCGATGTCAAGGAACAATTTGTTTAAATATGTTAATAATCCAGATCATGTGCAAGTTTTAGCTATAGGTGTAAGTCACTATATGGGGCATAATGTTCTGATTGCCTGAGGTCTGTGCTCCTAATGCTTTTCTAGTTTACGTCATACAAAAATGTTAAGATGTCTAACCTTCTATTTTTATTGTTTCGTCAATATTATTCGTTTAATTTTCTTTTAGGTGTATAAACTTACACATATAGCGAAGGGTGTCTTTTTTTATTCCATTTAGTTTTTTTCATGCTGGCGTGTGGCCATTAGTTAAATGTGAGAAAATCAAATGTAAATTATTTCAATGCGCAATGAAATTCTTTTGAAGAGATTCCCGGTTGACTAAATTTTTACATAGATTGAGGTTAGTCTTTATTAGTGACAAATATTATGCATTTTATCTGATATTGTTTTAACTTTTGTTTTCTTAACTCATGTTATCTTTAGATAATATGAAGATCTAAGGATTTAGATATATGAAAATGCTCAGTGCTAAAATTGATCTCTCCTGTTACAGCAAACAAGACCCTATTTTAAATATTTTTCTAGAAGACAGGGAGTCCTCACGGGAACTCAACAACACTGCCCCCTAGTGGTGGGACTGCATATTTTACACAACTTTCAACAACAGCTCTAATGAGCTAGTAAATCACTTTAATTCATCAGCTTATTTTTGTAATGAGCGAAACTTTAACTTATAAATAGCTAATGACTCATTAGGATCATCATGTGAATGAAGGTTAAAATTCAATCCTTGTCAGTGCTGGAGTCACTTTGGACGACATGTAGGCCCCTTCATTAGGCCCCCATTGCCACAAATACCCCTCCTTCTGCATCTAGCCTAACCCTAATGGTTAGAGGTCGGTTTTTATTTTATTGGGACGAACCGCATCATCCTGCCTATTAAAAAGGTCAACAAGAAGAGGCTCATCAGAGTAGATTTAAAAGTGCAGCGGGAGGTGTTCGATCATTCTGCAAAGATGCTTATCCCCAGAACATACCTAAAACACAAATTAGCCAAAATACATTTGGATGCTCCTCAAGACTTTGAGGGAAATATTTTGTGGAGTGACCAGATAAAATAAATTCTTGTGTGCTTCTCATTTGGACTGGAGTCAAACTAAAACTTTACTGAAGTATATCGAATGCGGCTGGATGTTCTGGAATTCCTTTGGTGCTGCAGGACCTTGATGACCTGCTAATTTATGAATCAAGCTTCGTGCAATACACCCCGAAGCAGAATGCCCTGCTTTAAGCCAGAGTTTACTCGGGTTGTGCAGCAGGACGATCACTGAGTGCACACAGCAAGTCTGAGTGGCTGAAAAACAGTTTTAAGGGTGGCCTTTAGCACAAATTTTAATCCATTTGGGATGGTGCAGTGGGACTATGACATGAAATCTATGCAGCATAGCTGGATTTAAAATAATTCTGCAAATAAGTTTGGACAATAGTTCCTCAAGCATAAAATACATATGTTTAGGGGGAGTCATTTTACACATGGGGCATGATTAATACGTGTTAAATGTTCAGGTCATGCATGCTTTTCTTGGTCTGAAACATTTAAGGGGAAATTTGAGAGAGAAAATACTTGATAATGGCACAAAATAAAGCTGGAACTCCCTTTATTATCACCAAAAAACAAAACAAAAAAAGCAGAGGAGTTAATTAGAGAAAGTACAATTTTTATTATCAGCTTGTAAAAACCTAAAGATTAAAAAAAGATCAACGAAACCATAGTCTTGTTTTGTTTTGCTTTTGGACATCCACACAAAATCAACATACTTTAAAAAGTTTCTAGTCACAATCTTAAATAGTCTGTATAGCAAAGTTCTGCAATTTAGAATGATGCCTGTTTTCTATACCAATCTCCACATTAATCCTCTACAAAAAAAAAAAAAAAAAAAAAAAAAACATTCAGTAAGGAGAAGTAGGAAAAAGTTTCTCTATTTCACAAAAGTATTTTCGGTCTGGGATTATTTAAGCATTTCCGAATCGGATTCCTCTTTGAGGTGTTGAGAATGAAACAGTGTCCAGCTTGAAAGAGCTCCTTTGTGTCGCTGAATGTTTGCATTGATGACTGAAAGACATCTTCCGCCTCCATTTATCTATTTACTACATAGTGTTGAATTCATGTTAATTCAAAAACATTTAAATTAGTGGAAAAAATTGCAGGGGGGGAATATAAAAAAAAAAAAGTCTAATCACCCAAAAATTTAGCGAACCCCATGCAGTACTTCTGTGGACCCCCTAGGGGTCACGGGCCCCCTGTTGAAGACCTCTGATTTAGAGTTTAAAATATATTTTAAACTTCCAGTTCTAGAGCATACTGCTGATTATTAGGAGTGCAAAACTATTTCTCACAAACAAACAATGCTTTCACGAAAAAAAACCTTTGGTCATTCTGACACCTTAGACACAATCATACAAGGAGTGACCTAGTGACTGCCACAGCCCGAGCACTCTTTAAAAAAGAAAATCATTCAATTAATGTCAGTCAATCAACTATACAAGCAAAGATTATATTTTCCCTTCAGTTAGTTATTGATTTTCTCTAAAATTAAAAAAGTGGTATATATCCCATCACCAATTAGTTCCCACAAACTAAAGAGAGCATGGGGCTCTTAAAAAGTTTTCAAAAATGATATACATTTCTTCTCGCTGAAACTCATTTCTAAGAAAAACTTTCATTTGATTGTAAGCATAACTTAAGTTATCTGAGCAGATTTTTTTTCAACTATCCTAAAAATAAAGGTATAGCTTTGGACTACTCTGCATATGGAAGACTATGAAGATATAACGGAATTTGCAGAAAACATCTGAAAACTTCAAAGTTAAAATGGTCAGTGTCATTAAAAAAAACACACCCTAAAATGGAACAAATCCACCACTAAAACCATTATACCATATCTAACAGCATGACTGGATTTAGACTAGTAATATCATATTACTTAATTTAGTAGAAACTTTTTATTTTAGGACACAGACGTTCCATCAACTTTTTCAAATCTAAATCCCCATAACCTGTCAGTAAATTATTAAATCACTGGGATGGGCTGTCAACAACTTTATAGGTTTGCTCAGATAAGACCTGTACTTCAGCATAATTCTGAGCAGTATGGCAAACATTATCCTGTCATAAATGTATAATATAAAATGACACAGCTGGAGATGTGTAGCAAATTTTTAAAAAGTACTTTTGTCTTTCAAATATAGTTATGCTATAATCTAACTTTAATGAACTCACATCTGGATCAAACAATGGGTTATAAGAGAGGTTCCTGTGGAACATAATTCTGCTGTGTCAGAGCAGGAACCAAACAAATACAAACATGCATATCATTATCCTGTAGGGACTGGATTTAGACTGGACACGTCTGCTGCAAAAGAGGGAACTACGGTCAAAGGCCAACACTGATGTAATATGCAAAATATTAGATGTTTCAGAAAACCAACCCCCTGTATTGCAGTAAGGAAAAAGAATGTGACCAGAATGGAGGAGCTAGATGAGTTTAAAAGGTGGGAAATTGTGGAAGAACTGTCCCAGCAGAACCCAATAAACCTACAACCAGAACCACAAAGAATAAAATATAATTAGTCGTTAAATCGGACTACACCTAAATCAAACTGAGAAACTGTTACAAGACCTAAATATTGATGTTTACAGCCACTTTCCATCCAGTATGACTGAATTTCAGCTATTTATCTGGAGGAATTAAACCAAATTTACACATGTAAATGCATGGTCCAGAAACTCTCGAAGCTATAACCTCAGGAAAAAAACAAAACAATCAAATATATAACTAAGAGCATATGGATAACATATTTAGGCAATCCTACTGCTTAAGAATCCTGTTGATTGTTTGCTTATATCCAGACTAGACAAAGCTTCTCAGATGACAAAACAAGTACCTAGTCAGTATAAAGTGGGGGTGGGGGAAAAACAAGGCATATCTGTGTGACAATTAATGTCTGATGGGTAACAACGGTTCAAAAACATTTAAAAGCTACTGTAAAAAAAGGTGGATCCAACTCCTGCAACCTCTAGGAATTGAGAAGAGTGATATGCAAAACTGTTTTGAATATCTAGAATGTCATCTTAGCGCACTTAAACAGGCATTTAGTCTCTTAGTTATCTTAAAACTTTTCTCCTCACAGTGGTCTTGACTTTATAGAATAGTATACAGCTTATTTGGAGATCTCAGCTGTTTGGCTGACCAATGTCCACAGTAACGTTCACATAGAGAGGAGGCCTCTCAACTGATAAAGTCTTATAAGAGCAGCTGTTGAGTCCATCACTTCTCCACATCTTCAAGGTTTGTCCTAACAGCCGCATCCTAGAAAGAAAGTAAGAAATATGGAACATGAATAACAAGGTCAACTTATGTCAACTGATTGAACAGGCTGGAAGTAAAAGAAAACAAAAATCCTCAAACCCAGCATTTATTTGCTTTAATTGTTTCAACTGAACTTTCTCACCACAATGTGAATCCCAGCCGTGTTTGGAAGCGACCAAGACCACCTCATAAAAAGGTATTGGTCCGGCTGCTAGATGCTGATCAGGGTTCACTTAAGGGTATTCACACTAGAGCTGAAACAATTAGTCGGCTTAATCGTGATTAAACGATTATTTAAATAATAGTCAAGTAATTTAGGAATCGATTAATCGTTCACGTGAGTACAGAGCCTAATACATGCCCTAAGCTGAAAGAGCAACCCACTTAGGGCAGTAATTGCACCAGAATTGTAAAAAAAATTATATATAGTTTAAATTCAAGATAAAAAAAAACACTTTGTCTGTCAATATGCTCTATGCAGAACTTGTCAAGTGGTGTGTGTATATATATATATATATATATATATAGTCTCAACTTCAAAAGACAACCTTAACACATCGGACATGGCAGCAGAATTGTGTCAATAAGCTTCCTCAGGTTTCCATTGTACACAACTGGCTTCCACTTAGTTCCTAATTTAGGTTACTTTTAAAGGTGGAACAATAAAACAGAACAGAAAACAATAACACAAACTGAGACAGGACCTAAACTATCAGCTGGACATTTATCCTGAGATGAAATTTATTTTATTTCAATATTTATCTCTAATTTGAGACTAGCTATAAAAAGTCCTGTCCCTTATTATATTTATGAGCAAACAAAACTCAATGAAGCAAATAACCACAGGAAACACACTGACCTGTCTTTGTTAATCTGATTTCCAGTGTCTCGTTTGTGAAACACCATGGTGTAGCGCGCTACATCAGCCGGGGGGCGCACAATCGTCATTTTTTGCTGTTCAACCCTGTAAATCGGACCAGGAGGAATGGAAGATGAAGTCTTATTTGTCTGTTTCATATGTAACAGCAAACGTATTATATTTCTCACCTGACCCTAAGGTCATCATCTTCTCCACCCCATCCCCAGTAGTTGTTTGAGAATCCATTTACTTTAAAAAACTGGTCTTTGGTCATGGCAGTGACTCCACCAAAGTAGCCTTTGTAGCGCAGCCTGTGGAGAAAAACAAAGAGTAGAAACAGAATTAAATTAAATTATTCACCAAAAAAGAATGTAAGCAGTCACACAAAATTTATTAACTTTCTTTTTCCATTTTGAGAATATTCACAAGCTCCTGAGCCTTACCTTCGGTATGTAATATTTGAGAAATGCACCTTAACAGTGCTTTTCAGATATGACTGACAGAGGTACAAAAGACAAAGGGATTCCCAAACTCAGCTGAAGTTAGTTTCAGGTTAGATATTCCAAACTTGACAAAGACCATTTGATTATCAGCGCTGCTTTCTGGCCTTTCTGGCACACTTCGTATTGTCCAATTTTAAAATATTTGACATTTTACATGATTTCTTTAGATAAATATTCATGACCTAATTCAGCAGCTTGGAGGTCATTTGACTGACAAAACTAATGTCAAATCAATATATGAGAATGGAAAGTGCCACACTTGCTTCTATCCAGTTTAAATGCATTTTCAATTCTTAATGATCTTTTATAATGAACCGTCATGATTTTGTTGAATTTCCACAATAAATATATAATCATAAATAAAAAAAAAAGCTATAAAATTGGACAAAAAGGACTTCACCTTGTGTTTACAATCTAATATAATGATATGATACTAACTTTCAGTCACTGGATCATAATACATGAAAGATAATAATATTAGTTATTAACTTTCCTAAATATCAGAAAAAACAACAACAAAAAAACAACAACAAAAAAAACCTGAATGTTGAAAAACTAAATCACATCAGACTCTGTATCAAACTAACCATATCAATGCTTTTTTTTTTCACCGTGTTTTTTTCTTCTCTGAATGGAAATGGAATTGTCATGACAGCTGTACAAAACTAAATTTCTTTTTGTATACAGTCTGTGTATACAAAATGACAATAAAGTTTGTCTAAGTCTAGTTTCTCCAGAGTGTTTGTCTCAGAAATTGATAGTCCTCAGTGAATCCCCTTGTGGAGAAGGAGTGTATAGGCTGGGAGCTGCTGACATCAGTTTTTCTGGATGATGTTGCAATAAAAATAATGAAAATTTAAAAAATCCTCAGGGGGTGAAAATCTATCAAATGTGTATGCATGAGTCCTGTTGATCTTGTGAACAGCTCTTTTTAGTCTGTCCACATCAATCAAAGAAAAAGATATCTTACACTACACTTACACTATGTTTATTCACATGACACTATAATTCATTCTTAATCTACCAAAGCTCACTGGATACATATACACTTTAATGTGGAGCAAGAAAAAACTATCAAGGACCAGACTTAAACAACGGCATGAAATGAGCATGTCACAAAGACTGGCATGTGGGTCAACCAATAGATCATCCCCCAAGAACTCGGATCGTCCACCATAACTTTAAGACTGTAATTCATATACATACTTGTATCCTGTAGCATTACGGCCAACTACCAGGTGTTTGGGCTGCTGGTCACAGATGTATAAATTGTGATCATTCTCAGGGACCAGATCAACATCATGGAAGATGAAGCATCCCCAGCTAAAGTCCTTAATTGCCTCCAAATATCCAACATTAAGTAACTTTGCTCGGTTGAAGGTCGCATCACCAGCCTTCAATAAAGCACAAAGGAAAAAGGGAAAGAATTAAAACACTAGATTTTCTATTTAGTTTAAAGAAGATTTAACATCAAATTTCTGTCCAATCTTTATCTTTTATTACAGTCATATATGGATATACAAAAAAAAAGTGGGAATCTTTTCTTTAAAGGAGAAGTTCGGTTTTTTACACTTTAAGCCCATTTTCTGTAGTGTCCAGGATGAAATCGAATGATCGACACCAAAAGTTTGACAAT